AAAAGTCACCCGCTATATTAGAGTGATTTTACAAGTCGCTTTTTTTTGTTTTCTTTAAGTAGCTCTTTCTCAGTCCCGGTATTTTTTTATTTCTTGTTATAATTCTAGACTACTTGTTTTCGTTTCTTTTTTATTATTAATAAAATATACTAAAATTTTTTATCAAAAAATTTATTTTTGATCAGAATCTTTTAATTTGTTTTTAAGAATTCATTTCCCTCTTATTTTTATCCTGAAAAAAATTAATGTATTATTAAATATAATTTAAAATTTTTAAAATATAATTATAAGATCAGTTTATGAACAAAAAAAAAAAACAAAAATTACTCATTATATGCAGTTAATTCGTGTGACTCTCCTTATATAAATAAAAGCTATAACAATAATTCAACCCCCTAACAGAAATCAATTGAAAAAATAAAATTAAACTGCATTAAAGTACAAAATATGTATTGCGTGTATATGTATATATGAAATTATTTAAAATAACCTTAAAATTATTTAAGAAAATATTGTGTAAATCAAAACAAAATCATAAAAACAGTAAGAATTCTTTATCTTAGAGTTAAAAAATAAGAACACCGGTTTTATCTTAAATATGAAGAGAAGGTATACATGTATATATGTATATAAAATGAGAAAAAGAAACGGAAATTTTTGGCGGGATTTAAAAAAAAAAACTGTTTATTGTATAACAATTCCACTAGAATTTTAATATACACATATGTATAAGTGTTATACAAATGTATATACGTAACTCAACATTGATGAACAATGAACTTTAATTTAAGGCCGAATAATTTCCTTTCTTTTTATATAAAAAATTTTACCTTTATACAATATTGTTGTCGCCTGTCCTTATAATATTGCATTTATATTAATTCCTTTAAGTTGAAAATCTGGAAGGCAAAAAACAACAAAAAATACGGTCGGTAAAAACCACCCTTAAAATTCAGGTTTAAATTCAACCTTAACAGGGAAGAAAAAATTGTTATAAGAAAAAATAAACATCTTCGTGCTATATGGTTGCATTCACCACAAGAGATTCAAAAGGAAGGTAGGTAGATAGGTATAGGTTAGTTGCCTTGGTAAGTATAGGTATGATTGGGTATAGTTATAAGATAGAAATAGGTTTAGATTTTTTTTTCTGATATTAAATTGCAAATGCATGCACTTATACATGAATAAAATGTACAACTGCCACCGGCTTAAAAGCAGATGTAATATATATAATTATTATTATAAAATTTTATAAACATACTGGCATACATGCATTTATTCACTTATAACATACTCACTAATATTTATATTTGTTATATAACGTTATTTATAAAATTAAAGGATAATTGTGTGAATTTTTTTAGATTAATATTGTGAAGGTAAATGTGTTTGTATGATTATATTGTTTCTGTATATATGATTAAGAATTTGTTCATTTACTTGTAACGTACATTGTATATATACATATGTTATTAATGCATGGGTATGCGTTAAAATAATTTTTGATTTTAAAGTAAAGTGAAAGAATATTTTAGATTTAATAATGGTACAGCTGACAGAAATAATGTAAGCTGGATAAGAAAGAACTATTGATTCCAATTTTATTGTGATGATTAATGAAAATCGGTTTTATATATACATACACTAGTATGTGAATTATAACAATATTTAAGGTTTCGAATACAATATCTTGGTCATATAAGGTATTTTATGAAGATTTTCTGATATTTTAATTAGTTTTTCTTTCAAAAATCAATTTAGATATTGAAAAATTTCAATATTTTATAAAAGAAGGTCAAAATTAAATTTATAGACAAATCAATTTACCCCTAAGGCTGTACATTATTTTTAATTTTTTAATTTTAAAATTATGATTCGATTCAAAATTAAAAATTTTAATTGAAAAAAATAAGAGTCTTATTCCAAATAGATAAAATTAAAATAAATTATTTTATAAATTTCTTCTGCTCTTTTGCTTATTAAAAATGAATAATTTGTGTACATTTGCTTATTCTTGAATTTTTCTTTTTTTGCGTCTCTGTGCCACACCCAATCAGTCGCAATAATGCACTTGCCCAATGACAAAGAAGTCTGGCTCATATATAGATTTTTGTTTTTCTTCTGTTTAATTTTTTTTTTTTTTTTTGTAAATATTTAAATGATCAATATTTGCATTTAAATAAAATTTTAAATGATTATTCAAAGTAAAAAATTAAAATCAAAGAAAAAACAAGAATTAAAAATTACAACCAACACGTAATTTCAATATGCTTATTTTTATTGGATTTTCAAATTTCAATGCACAAAATAAATTTTTTTGAATATTAACGATAAGCACTTTCTTTGTGAATTCATCCTAATTATGCCCTTGAACTTGGGCACATAATAAATAGGATGTCTGAGTAACAAAAAAAACCAAAATTAATCAGAACTAAAGAGTAAACAAAATTTTTATTTAAATTTTTTGATAAAGTACCGTTCATTAACGGAAATAAAAAAAAAATTTTTATTTTCAATGATTTTTTATAGGGAAAATTATTAAGTTTTGCAATAAGATATTTTATCTGACAACATACAATTGTAAATTGTGAATGTATTGTAAATTCCCTATAAAATTTTTGGCGTTTCTTGTAATAATTTCTTGGAATTTTTGATATCTGATAATTAAAAACGGATTCCTTATTTATTATTCAGTATATTAAATACTAAATATGATATTTTACGCGATATTTAATTAGTACTCTTGGAACTAGTAATGCATCCTAGGCAATAAATGATTTAATACTCACATTGCATATCTGCAGGCGTTAATATTTGAAATTTCCGCCTAAATCAATGCATATCACTTATTCTACGTAGTAAAATTTATATGTTGCATGCAAGAACACAAGTTGTCTATTCTTAAATGAGGTGTGTCATGTATTTCTAATGCTTTTATTAAAATACGTATTTATATACGTCATATGCTCTCTCATTTAGATTGTAACTACAATATTTTATAATAAAAAATTGTATTGATGGCATGATTAATGTTTACTATCACAAATTTTTTAAAGAAAAACCAAATTTAATTTTGTTTTCAAGAATTACAGTGTACACAATATAAACATTTTTTTTTGACTCGTGCCATTTATTTGAAAAAAAAAACCGAAAAATTTCAAAAAAACATACAAAACCAGGTGTTTTAAATTGCTTCTTTTACAAATGATCATTAACAATAGAACATTATTAAATTTCAAATAGAATTTACTAAATTCATCACAAAATTTTAAAATAATAAAAGTTACAATGGATCTACACAAATGAATGATACTGTAATAAAGGTAATATTAACTAGGGTTCATATATAATCGGTACATATGAACATGCATACATTCATATGAACCGAATTTGGAGATCACAATAATCACGATCATTCGTTTATTACAATTTACTATAAATATATTTTGTGTGTGTATGTAGGTATATTTACAAAATTTTCCTGTATTTTTTTATTTTGGCCGGAATAAGCAGTGTATACATACATACTTATATAAAGCATCTTAATTTAACATTTATAAATACGTACTAACAAAACAATTCTGATAACTGTTAAATTTTTACATTTCTCTGAGAATCTTGTTTCAGAGTAGTTATTATTTTACTTTCTGGCTGAGAAAAATGGGGAATACATATTATTATATATGATACCATTGCCAAAATAATTACGTAAAAATTAGACTCAAATTGAGATTTTCTCAATTTGAACCAAAACGAGAGAACATAATAAAGACGCAACATAGACTTTTTTTTAAAGTTTCTTATTATTATTATTGTTTTTATGCTTACATTTTGAATTGATTGCACACCTGTTCCCCACCTTTAAATATATAAAGTGAGAGAGAGAAACAAAAATATATAAAGTGATCATGAGTGATGAGAGAAACAAAAAATTTTGAGAGTTCGCCTCGTTTTTTATTGTTACACATCAAATGAGAGTAAGAAATTTTTTGTTCTTGTTTTTTTTAATCATCTCTTATAAACTCTCAATATTTGACTCTCAAAATAAAGATTTATTTTTATTAATTTCTCATTTATATTCAATCTCATTCTGCTCTTGAGGAGTACAAAATTTTCATTTTTTATATCTCTTTTTTTAAAAAATTGAGAGAATTTGCATTGAATATCTTACATTTTATTCTCTCAATTCTCAATTTCAAAATTTTTTTTGTTTCTCTTTATAAAACTCCACCTCTTTTATATCTCTTTATATAATTTACAAGTAAATAAATTATTTTATATTATGTATAAGAAACGTAATAGAAATTGATTATTCAGAGGGGGTCTTTTAAATCTCGGTTAACAATTGGACAGATACCACGTGCTATTTTATAATTATATGCTTTTATATACTAATCTGCACATACGTACATATATAATAGTATGTATTTTAAAAAGTGATCCATAGTATATATGAGTGTTCATGTAAATATGTGTATGTATTTGTGATTATGTATACGACTTAATGTGTACATGTGCAACAATATAACTGTTATTTTATTTTCGTGTTTTTTCTTTTCTTCCTGTTTTCTTCGTTATTTCTTTTGATTCTTTGTTGTTTTAGAAAAAAATTAAATGTTCATGATCGCAGCATTTACGCTTTTTTATTTAAAAAAAAAAACAGGGATTGAAGCTATAGGAACACGAAGGTAAAGGTGTAATTTTGGTATTGTTCTTTGATTTCTTTTTGTTTGCTTATTTTTTTTTTATATTTGTTGATCTTGAAATAGAGGGGACGCAAAATTTTAAAATTTCATTTTTAGAATTTTAAGTTTGGTAAAAGTTCTTTTGCGTCATTCAAGACTTTACTGGCTTCTTGAAAAGAACCTTTTCTTAAAAGAATTTTTCAAGAATAAATTTGTTGTTTAAATTCTTATTCGTTTATTGTTATAGTTAATTTATAAATATTAAATTTAAAAATTGTTTGTGTTACCATTTATTTGTTAAAAAAAAAAAACAGTATGGAATACCGTAAATGCCCATTCAAAAAGAGACCAATATTTGTTATCAAAGAAGAGGACACGCTTGTTGAAGAAGGTAAAATAGTAGATTAATGAAGATACGATTTTATGTCACTTTTAGAAGCAATTAATAAATATTTTAACGGTAGGCTCGTCACCTACCTAGTAAACTCAATGACGTAAGAAACTGGTTCATAGTTATTTACAATATCATGTACCCAGCTCCATGCTTGTCCCAGGAGCGAAGTAGGATAAAACGAAAAAATAAAGATTTTAGTGAATTCCATTTGCTTCTTTTATTCTACTTCCAAACTTAAACATGCATAAAATTCAAAATAATATTTCTAGAGTAGAATTATAAGAAAAAAATTATTTTTATATTTTTATTTGCAGATTGTCCTTTAGATTTGTCAATCAAAAAGCCTTTGCAATGCATAAGAAGAAATATACTGCAGTTTCAAAAAGCAATGGAAATACCAATAAATTTTTCAAATCGTTTGGACACAATTAAAGAAGAAGATTGCCAAACGATAATCTATGAAGAAAAACAAAATTGTTTGAATGTACCCCAGGATTTGAGTTCGAAAAATTATATTCAATTTGTGAATTGTAACAATAGCCAAGTATCGAGCAGTTACCTGGAAAATCAGTTTGAAATAACTACATTCAATTCAAATAGAAACTATAATAATAATTTAATTGATTCCACTCGTATAAAAGATGAATTAAATTATATAAAAAACTTAAGAACTTCACCAATTTCACCAAATGATTTTAGTTATATTGATAAACAATATGAAAATATAAAATACTCGGATATAATTGAAGATGATTTTAACACACCTCAAGATCTCACTATAAAATCACAAATCAAATCAACAATTTTGGTTGCACGCAATCCAAATATAATGGAGGAATCAAATATAATATTACATAATCAAAATTCTCTTAATAGACACAATGATGATTCTTATTATCGTTGTAGTACATGTACAAAATGTTATTCAACATATAAAGGTTTAATAAAACATCAACAAACACATATCACTAATAATGAACAAAATTATATTAATGTAATTGAAAATACTTCAAATATAAATACAATTGTTACAACAACAAATAATGATGGTGGCTTCAACAACAACAGTAATATTAATAATAATAATCAAATTACAAATTTACAACAACGTGTTGTTAATATACATCGTTATCAATGTAAAGATTGTGGTAAATCATATTCAACATGTTCAGGTTTAACAAAACATCAACAATTTCATTGTCCGAATGCAGAAGGAAATCAAGTGAAAAAAGTTTTTAGTTGTAAAAATTGTGACAAAGTTTATGTTTCATTGGGTGCTCTAAAAATGCATATTCGAACACATACATTACCATGTAAATGTCCACAATGTGGTAAAGCATTTTCACGTCCATGGCTTTTACAAGGACATATACGTACGCATACTGGTGAGAAACCATTTAGCTGTCAACATTGTAATAGAGCATTTGCTGATCGTTCAAATTTAAGAGCACATTTACAAACACATTCAGATATTAAAAAATATTCATGTACAACATGTAGTAAAACATTTTCAAGAATGTCATTATTAGGTAAACATTTACAAAGTGGTTGTCCCGGTACAATTAAAATAAATCAATTATCTGAAACAATTATTAATCAAACCGCATCACAATCATATGACAATCATAATGATTTCGTTGTGAAAATTGAACAATGTAATATTAATAATAATAATAATAATAATAATAATATTAATAATAATAATAATAATAATAATAATAATAATAATAACAATAATAATGATAATGACATTAAATATGTACAAGTACATCAAAATGAGACACAAACGAATTCAGGAAATATTCATTATTTCAATAGTGTTATTAAAGGACCAACAAACTATGAACAACAGAACCATCAACAATCATTTGAAAGTTATTAAAGGAATAATTATTATTGAAATTAAGCTAGGGAAAAACCAAATCAAATTTTATAAAACATTTTATCGTAATTATTTTAAATATTTAACTTATAAGCATACAAAATTAAGTAACTAATTTTTAGGGAATTCAAAACTCAAAATGTAACTAGAACCAAAAATTTTAAAAATTAATTAAATAATAGATTAATTAATGTTGTAGAAATTTTTAATTTATTTTATTTGTTTAAATGTATAGAATTAATATTATTAAAGGATCTCAGTCGTCTAGTCCAAAATAATGTATGTACAATTTAAATACGATCAAACAGACCAAACTAAACCAAATATATGTAATCAGATTTTAAGTAATTTATTTCAGTAATTTTTTAGATAAGATACAAATTAAACTTAATTTTCATATAATTGAAAAAATATTTTTGGTAACAGTAGGGTTAATCTGTTTGTATTTGTATTTCTAAACTATAGAATTTTGTGAAAATCTTGGAATTAGATTAGAAATTTAGAACTAAGTTAGAGCTGAATTTTCAAAAACACTCATTGTTTTTTTTTTTTTAATTTATTCAGATATAGTTTAAAAGCATTAAAATACAAAAAAATAGTAGCCACATTAATTTATTTAAAAAAAAAACATGTACGTGTAAAAATTTCTATTGTTACTAACTTATTGAATTAGACCTATTTAAATAAGATATTTAAAATATTTTTTTGTTAAAATATCAATATTATTAAATTATTTTTTAATTTTTAAATTGTTTAAGAAAGAGAAACGGAAATAAATTATGCATTTATGTTTAAAAAAAAAAATTGAATTTTCTACAATCATGTTAAGTATAGAGTTGAGACATATTGAAGCTAACTATCGAACATTTCTTTATCTAAAGCTGGATACGATATTTTTAAAAATATTCACGTAAATTGGTGGGAAAGGCTTAATTTTTGACAATTTATTTTGTAATAATTTTTAATTACTGTAGAAAAGGCTTTATTTTTAATATTAATTATAAATTTAATCTTAAAAACTAATTTCAACTTCAGTTTTCTTAAATTCAACAACCTTTTATCAACAAAATCAATTAAATGCGACAACATCTAAAATTTGATTGTCTTTTTTTCAAAAATCACTTCATATTTTAATGTAACACTGAAGAAAATCTCATTTAGTGCAACGACACTCAAAAAAATAAAAAATAAATAAATTTTATGTGATTCAAAAGATCACAATTAATGATTAAAATAAAATTCAACTTGACTTTCTTTTATATGTATATTTTATTCGACACCCAACAAAAAAAAAAAAAAAAAAAACAAATCAAAAAATAAATAAAATAAAAATTAAATTATTTTTTATTAAACATAATCGCACAATCACAGTTTTATAATAAAATCGAATTATAAAACCAAAAAATCGAAAATCTACCAAATATTCCATTACATTATTTATTGACATCGTTTTCTTAATAAAACGCTTTCTGAAAAATCAAAAACAAAAATAAAATGAAACGAAATCAAAATTTTGGACAGTAAATTTTGTATTTAAGACGCTTTTTATATAAACATTGACAACTTCTAATGAACAACAGAAGAGCGATTGACAGCACAAAGAGGCAGTACAATTTTGATTGTTTATATTAATATAAAATGAATTTATGTCTAACACTTACCCATTGAAATTTATTTGAAATTTGTGTCGTCAAAAGAATATTATGTTATTATGCTTTATACAGTATTACGTATACAAATGTCAAATAAGAAACACCTTTTACACACACCTTCTTTGTTAAAAGTGTTACTATTCAAAAAATTTCAATTGTAAGTACACAGATTGAATGTTATACGTAAATTGTAAATTTTCTATATTGTTTATAAATAAATGAGAACTATGGCTAGTTTATTGTCTACTCATATATGCTATTAGCATGTAATTATGTTAATGTTATCCGTATCTGTTAAAGTGATTTTTTAATTTTACTAACAAAAATATTATTATAAATTTTTTTTTGTCACCATTTTGAATTTTTCTCCTGGCGAATATACTGGTACTCTTGAATGTTTGTTGGCGAATATACTGGAACAACTGATACATTCCTACTCTTAACAGAATCGAGTTCTATTTAAAAATTTTTGTCCAAATTGGCGGCAGCAACCATGCTGGTAAGGTAAGTCCATTTTATGTTTAATTTACTCATTTTACAATGGCCAAATAGTAAAATATTTAAAAAATTTTTAGCATTTTATTTTAAATTTTATTAATAATATGGAAGCAATCAATTAGAATAAATTTTTACAAATTTTTCTTAATTAATCTTTAAGCAGAAATTCAGTGAACATTTTTGAGAAAACCTCTATGTTTCAGACCTATCAAAATAAAGGCTATATTTATGTGATTATAAATTTGTGAGAAAATTAGCCAAAATTAAGCAGCTGCTTAAAAATATCAAGTAAATTCTACCTTATTACATTTCAAGTTGAAAACTCTTACAAATTCGAGTTTGGATTTCGTCGCGTCAATCCTTTTCTCTCCCTCTCTCTTTCGTCCAATTTGCCTCTCTTAAAATGTTGTAAGTGTCATTTTATTTTTGCGGAAATTATTTTTCGTTTTATAAATCGTTGCACATTTTTCTCTTAAAAAAAAAAATCTCTTTTTTATTTTAATTTTTTTCGAACTTTTCTCTCTTTTTTTTTTTTTTTATAAATTAACATTCTTTTTTAATAAAATATTATGACAATTATTATAACGAAATAAAATATTATCATCATAAATCTGTTGACACGATCAGAAGTGAATGTAAGGTGCACACAAAAACTGAAAAAAAAAATAAAATTTATTATTTATTTTACTAAATAAACCAAAAAATACGAACAAAAAAAATAAAACGAAAATAAATTAAAATAAAAAAAATGACAAAGATCTTTCGATTTTTAACTCCAACACAATCACCAAAATGATATCGAAAAACTAACAAATATTTTATAAAATCAAAAAATTTCCCCCAAGAAAATACAAAAAAACCCGAATTAAAATATAAGAAAATTAATTTTGTTTTCATTCTCTCTCCTTCTCTCCTTAATATCAAAATATTTTTTTTATATAATTCATTCTCTTTCTTTTCCATCCATTAAATTTACACCGTTAACTAAAAGTATTAAAAATATCAAATTAAAAAATTGATTTTAATTTTATTTTCACTCGTTTTCTTAAAATTAATAAAAAATCATGTACATACAATTAAAATAAAAAATAAACAAATGAATAGCATATTTTAATGACAAGTTTTGTGCACTGGATACATGCCAAACTATAAAGACGCTTCTGCACACATTGTCATCTATTGTGAATTAAATATAACATACATATTAAGAGTTTACAGCTTGAAGTTTGAAAGTATAATAACTAAATTTCGTACACACATACACTAAGTTTATTTGAAATCAATTAATGTCAAAAATTCAGTAGCGCTTTTATAACCTGTCGTGATTTTATGCTAAACTTTATAGCTTTGCTTGTTATTTATTATCTCGTTACAATTCCATATTTGTATCACATATATACAATATAAGATTCAGAAAATTCGTCAACATTATAACATAAAAATTAAATAATAAAAATTTGAAAACAAAAATATAATTTCTAAAAAAGTCAAAAAACTGTAAAAAAAAGTATAAAATTATAATAAAAATTTGATACAATTGGGTATAAAGATGAATAAAAGCTCCGGTTTCATTATTTATGAATCGATTCCTATACAATAATTTTATAGAAAAATTAATTTGAAAAATTTTATTTAACAAATATCGTAAGCAATTTTCAAAGTTCTTCACTTGAAACTTTCTTGCACCAGTGGTGAGCAAAATCACCAATAACATGTTATAGTTATTTTACAATGTTTACAAATTTTTGCAACACAAAAAATATTCTTATTTTTCACGGTTGGCGCTCATATTTTGACACAATAATTCATCTTTGTAGGTGGCGTATACAATAAGCATATCACGTCTGTCAACAATTGAATTAAAAAATGTCATTTCTTAAGCAAATTTAAAAAAAATTCCAATTTAATTTCTTTCAGTTTACAGTTTTGAAAAAAAATAAAATTGTATTTTCATTGTTTCATCAATAACTCTGATTAAACCTGATAAAATGTTGATTCCTTTAATGTTACTATTTTTTGTATAACAATAACACTATAGCTTCAATGTTCAGAAATATCCGGAAAAAAATTATAATCTACATGAAATTTTACTTAATTTTTACAATTTTAAAACCTTTGTACTTTTATTATAATAAATAGAAAGAAAATGATTGTAAAAGTCTAGGTCCACCCATATGGATAAAATGAAAAATTAGTTAAAAGAAAAATAAGAGAAAAATTTTATCATTGTTAACTGCACGATAAATTGTTGACTGTATGTAGACTACACTCGTAAGATAAAGTATCAAATTTTGTGTATCCAATTGTCATAAGTGAAAGCAGTTTTGAAGTATCTGTGTACCAAATAACAATTAAAACGAATATCATTCAAGTTTTAGCTTTGAACTAAATAAATTTTAGCTTTTGAGCCAACAAGTTTTGGATTTTGTGTCCCCTTTTTATTAAATAATTCATACACTTGGTACACTTGGTTTATGACATCGAATTTTCAGAGTAAAGACAAAGTCATTTAATTTTAATAAAGTTGTTTTGGCATGATTTGACACCTGATATCTCTCAATTTGTGTATTATGTATGCACCTATAGGCTGTGGTTTTCGGATATTCAACAGCTAATTAATATCGTCCAGTCTATTGCTACGAACAGCTTCCTTGTAGTAAGGTGCCTTAAGTTTTCTTGTCTTGGAATTGGTATTGAAAATCATCCAATATATTTTTGTACTGCTTTCAGTTATAAATTGGCGTGTACCTCTTTACTTAATTATTTTATTTAATTTACCTTTAGAATTTTTGTTTTTCTTTTTTTTTTCTTTTCATTATTGAAGTTGGCACTCAAAATGATT